GTAAGAATTTTGTCTTGAATGAATCAGTCTATTCAGCTCTGAATCTGATGATGATTCAGAATTCAGGCTTGATTTTTAGAAAAGTGTTAATTTCGAAGCTCACTCCCATCACATTTCCAGATTCGAATCAACTATTAGAAGAAAAAAAATTCTAAACTCTGAGAAAGTTTTAAAATAATATAAAAATTAGATAAACTCGACTATTACAAATATTTAAGAAGAGCATTATCTTGAGTAGGACGATAGTAGTGTTTAGATCAAGAGCACTCCCTACGTCCTCAGCATCATGTAAAAATTACCTGAAAGCAAGTATTAATAAGGATATTTAGCGCTGAATCAATAAGAAGCAAGAGAGAGTAAAAATACTTGTTTGTGAAAAGTAATTTCAAATTTTTTCCCCCAACTGATTCATACTATGATTCAGCCCTGATAAAACTGCATAGCTGATTGTCGATCAATGAAGAATCTCTTTGCGAAAGAAAAATGTAACAGCAATAAAAAAAGATTAGAGCAAAATCAATACAAATTTAATGATTCTTGTTGAAATTACAAAAGACAAGAAAATGGATCAGTGTATGTATATTAGTGCCCAGTAGAATAAACAAAAGTTGACTCCAGATGTCTTATTTGATTTATCCCTAATAATATAAATAAAACGTGTCACAAAAAAAAAGCAAACGTCTTTCGTGTTCGAATAGTGTAGGCCGTAATATCCAAAAAGCGAAGAATGCGTTTTGAAAGAAAAATTTTTTTTTTCGAATTTTTCATTGAAAGTATATCAATATCATTCATTCATTTACACTGTGTGCTATAGCATGTGTGACCTTGATGAAATATATCCGGGTATGTCAGAATACAAAAAGTAAATATGATGTAAAAAGAAAAAAAAAATGAAAGATCAATTTTGTGGAAACCACCATCTAATTTCGATAATAAATAAAAATGGGAATAAATCAGACATAAATATTCTTATTTTATGCTATACGTTGCTGTTCGAATAAACTATCTATGTTTTGTTTCAAATTTGTCCGATTCTGATTTTTTTAAACTAATGAATAATATACTTCGGAGAACTATCAGATTTTCAACTAAGGGTTGTGTTTAGTATCCATGAAAGATAGAAAATATCATAGTCGACATTTTTTTCAGATCAGTAGTTATTTTTTAACAAAAAATCAATGGTTTATGAGTAGATTTCTCTTCAATAATGAGAAGTAAATTAGTAGATTTTAGATGTTCTTTAATTCTTTTTCGAAACTGTTCACATACGACTAATAAAAACATAAAAAAACTTATTTCTAATAAAAAAAATAATCAAACGACAAATAAAATAAAAATAAAAAAGAAGTGTTCTCAGTTTGAACAAGGCAGTTTTATGACTAAATTTTATTGAATTGCAAATATTTTTTAATATACGAAGTGTACAAACTTCAAAAAAAAAGTAACACCTAGAAATTGACAATTCTATAGAGGATGCACTCGTAGTATATTGAACAGATAGGCAAATCATAAAATAAACGATACTATGTAACAAGACGAATATTGATGATATGGCTCTGTTGAACGGTTGTCACATTCGAGGTTAATACTTTTTTTATTTATCGGCTATTTTGTTCAACAATCTATTTTCGATATTCCAATTGACGTTTATCCAAATAAACTGACTATTTTGACAAATGAATTACATTGTCCAAAGAATTTATTAGGACTTGTTTTTTGTCAGAATATTGTACGTTGGTTGTATATTAAATTCAAAGCAGATATAGATTGATATTTCTTTGATCAAATTACTATTTGTTTGTACAATCATTTTTACACACCTGTAAAAATATCAAAAAGTTGAAGGTCTAAAAATTGGATCTAAACTATGTTTAGCAAGAATGATGTACATCAATACAAATAATAAATTGAATGAGAAAGAAAAAAAAATAGAAACGATGTTCATCAGTTATATTTTTTTAACGGATACAATCTTAACTGGTGATAAGAAGCGATAAAGGCTTAAGATCGATTTATTTGATTATAATGGAATGTAGACATAGATATAGATTTATTGATCAAATAAATATAAGATGATACAGTAGGATTTATTTACTTTCTGCTACTCATTGATTAATATAAATGTGTATATAAGAATAAGAAGACTAGCATGAGTAATTTAGGACAAATATATATGTGCACTGCATTAACTGTCTAGTTTAGTCTTGCATACATGAGATGAAGAGAAATAATTAGTCTAGAGGTTTTTGAATAATATTACCATTTAAACTCAATAGTTATACGTTTTTGGGCGGGAAAATTTGTCAAGAACGAAACTGACTCACATAATAATAAAAGAAAAATACACTATTTTATATCATCTGTCGCCATTTCTCGTTAATAAATTATTAAAATGACAATTAACCATTTTCAATAAATGTACTAAACCAAATGGTGCCCAAAAATAAAATGTACATTCCCCACTAAAAGGTTAAAATGACACCTGAACTTTGCATAGGCGTGTTTTTGTTGTGGTATCAGTTTCAATTTTATTTCTTATAGAAAACATTTTTTAATGTCTATTCTTATCAAAAATATTCATAGAGATATTTATTATATTTTGTTTAAATCCGTTCTTACCACGTCTTTGCTCAGCTTCTTCTTTTTTGCTCAGCTGTTTCATCATCTAAAGAAGGAAGAAAAAAGAATAAAGAATCCTACACAGGAAAACAATAATAATCAAAACATGTGGTTTTTTGGTGAAAAATTTCAGCTTATCTTTGAACTATAAGTGTTAAATTTAATTTGCTGAAATATATCTTGAAACAGCAAATGGGTTAGATAAAACAGAACAATGATACGTATAATTATGATAAGAAACATTTTGTTTATGATATTTATTCTTAACGGAATTTGATAGATCAAGAAAAATATGTAATTTTAAAAATATGTATACAGAGTCATTTGATCTTTTTCTTTTAGAGATTAAAAACTAAGAAAGACGAGCACGTTGAAGATTCATCATGGGTAAAAAGAAGACAGAAAATACAATCGATGAAACGTTACAGTTGAATAAAACAAATGGTGATTTACCTCAATATGAATATGTAACAAATCCACCAGATGGAGGATTTGGTTGGGTTATTGCACTTGCCGCCATGGTATGTTGACAATGAAGAGACTCTTGAAATAATAAAATTAATTTGTCGATTGTTTATTTTAGATGTGTAATTTGGTGTGTGATGGTACTTTATTCGCTTTTGGAGCTATGAAACCCTAGTGAGTTTTAACTAAATAAATCAGATCAATCAGATGAAGAAATAAATTTATTTAACTTTAGTTTGAAAGATTCTTTTCAAACATCCGATATGTTAATATTGATGGTCGGTAAGTTACATAGTTGAAAAATGTTGTTTCATTAAAAGATGAAAAAAAATTAAGTATTTTTATTTAAAAGGATCAATTCCGTGTGGTGTCTACCTCTTGGTAGGACCAATTGTGAGTGGTCTGGCGAACAAATTTGGTTGTCGACTAATTATTATTATTGGGAGTATAGGTGCAGCTGCATGTATGCTGTTATCAACATGGTCTAAAACTGTTTATCATATGATGATTATCTATGGTATATTTGGAGGTAATTATAATTAAAGTTAAGTTTATCATAATCGTTGATTAAAACAATTTTCTATCTATTTATAGGCATCTTTTTCGGTATGGTCTATTTGCCATCGGTTGTTATGGTCAGTTTTTATTTTGATAAAAAACGAGCAGTTGCTAACGGTAAGTAAAATTATATAGAAATTTTATCTATAACTTGTCTTACAAAAAATTTATATGTTATATATTTTTTTTTCAGGATTGGTGACTGCTGGTACAGGAATTGGTGCTCTCTCGTTTGGACCATTAGCTAATTTTTTATTTAGTAAATTTGGATGGCAAATTGGAATGTATATATTTGCTGGTATGATGCTAAGCTGTATACTATTTGGAGCAATTATGATACCGTTAAGTAAGTAAAATAAAAATTTTTTATTATAACTTGAAAAACATATATATTATCTATTCTTAAAATAGAACCACAAAAAATTCCAATTGAATATGCAGAACCCGAAACGTGAGTACTAATATAGTTATATACAAATAGTAAATTATAAAAATAAATTATGTTAAATTTAGTTTACCTGTTTATAACGATAAAAGTCGACTACCTCCATATTCGGATCTAGAGAATAATACTGTAAGTCTATTCTTGATCAATATTTTTCATTCATTCTTGATGTATATAAGACAAACATATTATTTGAGATATTAATTTATTTATTATAGAAGGCATCGTTACTGTCACCAATAGCTTCGAATGATTTACGAACAAGTGGTGGTAGCACAGCTATTGTACCCGGTACCGATGATATAGCTCCACTTGTAAATAATTCTTCTCGTGCTCGAACAATATCAACATCAAGTAAAGCATCTTCGGGTGCTGCACGAATGAATTTATCTGTGATTACGAATCCTGAAGATGCTGGAAGAGCATTATATAGAAAAGACATTTTTCTCAGTAGTACACACAATCTGAATCGATCACCGTCAACACACAATTTATCTATTGAAACTGGTGCCGGAAAATATATGGCATCCGCGACAAATATTCCTGCTCAAATCCAACAAGAAGAGGCAGAAAATAGAAAACCTAGTCGATTAAAAGCATTTATGGATATTTTAGTAGCTATGCTTGATTTTAGTATATTAAAAAATAAACAAATGTTATTAATATGTATTGGAAATATTTTTTCAATGTTAGGCTATTATTTACCGATAATGTGCCTCGTTTCGTTTGCTATCGATGATTTAAAAGTACCACAAGCAAAGGCCAGTTTTCTACTAACAGTGTTTGGTGCAGCAAATACAATAGGACGTTTCGCTAGCGGATGGTTGATTTTTATTCCATATTTAAATTCATTAAGAGTTCATAACGGTCTATTGTTTCTCGCTGGTATATTAACGTGTATGGCAGCTTACGCATATAATTTTACGACGGCAGCATTATATGCTGGATTGTGTGGATTTGCTATTGGTAAGAAAATATCTTTGAAAGTACGAGTGGAATAATCACTCCAATTACAGTTTCTCCCGTGATAGTTCACCTGATTACTTTTTTTAAAATTTGAAATTATCTTGACGAGTATTTATATGGCTGGCTGTAAGTGTGAGTTGAGTTTTTTTTAACGTGAGTTGAGCAGATTTTAACGTTTTAATGATTAAATGGATTTTATAGTTAGATATTAGCATTCAGTTCATTAGATATTGAACTAGTATGCCTTTTTTCTGACTAATCTATTACCTTAGATAAATAGTTAAGCTTTACTTTTATTCTTTGGTTTTTAGCTCCTCATATGTCGTTGTTACCATCCATTATTTGTGATGTTGTTGGATTAGATCGTTACACAAATGCGTTTGGTATTCTGTTTCTATTCAGAGGTGTTACTTCAATTATCGGTCCACCAGCAGCAGGTTGGAATTAAATTAAAATGAGTTTTTTGAATCTATAGTGATTATCACATTTTTCTACTTTCTGTCTAGGTTATGTAAAAGATGCAACAAGCAGATATGATATGGCGTTTGCCATAGGAGGTATTAGCAATACTTTTTTCTCGTTATTAAAATCTATCGATTTTCTACTGTTCATTGTAGGCGCAATGATCATAATCGCAGCCTGTTTTCATTTTACACTCGGATGTTTCGGACTGTCTAAGGCGGAACAATCAGCTACAGCTATTCAAGATGAACCGCGTGGTCCAGTCACAGATGATGAAGAAATTCATCCGATGAAAACAACTTTGACCGATAAAACACGTAATCATGTTGTGGCATAATGTATTTTTTGCAGTGTCTTTTCTTTCTCTATTTTGGTGCTACCTGTAAATACATCCACTTGCAAATGTTCGAACAGTGTTTTTTTAATAGTACAAAGTATAATGTTATTTTGAATTGAAAAGTGCTATGCGTTTTTCTCTTATTTTATTTTCTACGAGTATGAAATAAACTGTCTGATGTTTGAATTCTTTCCGCTTTTTTTTTCTGTTGTTTATTATGATCTATTTAGTGAAGTACATTCACCATTGTTCTTGTTATCATGTAGATTAGTGGTTAGTTATATTTGTATTTTTGTCTATTACTTCTGTGATATATAATCCACTGCGCAAATTCAGAAGAACAGTACTTTGCTTTTTTAATAATTTTCTCTCAGGATTTTTTTGTTTCTTCATTTAATAGGGATATTTATTTGAACGGTTATTGTTGATAACTTTTTTAATTTTAATATTTTTGTTTGCTTACATAACTCAGCCATTTTTATTTTCGCTTTCTAGTGCACCACATATTTCATTTCCATTTTTCATACTCTAAAATAAAATAAAAAAAAATATTATATTTGCCTCTCTAGTTAGCGATAAACTAATTTAGAATAAAATTTTGCTAACAGTTGAAATGAATGATACTTCTCTGATGATACCACGACGGTATTTGAAATTATATTGAATAATTTTATCAGTTTTTTGAATATTAGAAATAGTATGTTATACTGGAAATTTTTAAATGAATTACTTCTACATACACTTTGATAATAATAACTTTTTAGTCTGTATTTTGATGACGTTATGTGAACTAAAATGTGCTGTTTGATATTGGTAAGCTCTTGTGAGAAAAATAATTTATAAGGAAAGCATATGGTGGATTTTAATTTTTTTCTTATTTCAAAAAATATTTTTATCTTTCAAATAGGTCAATATATCAAGCTGATTTTAAGGGCACAATATGGTCTGTCACAATATATTTATATGACATCGTATATCTCATAAAAGTAATGTAAAACATGTTTTGATGATGAAATTTCAATATTTAACTCGTACTAAACAAATTAATTTTTTAAAGAGGTAAATTACAAATCGACCTAGGCTCCCTCTCTACTGATTGATAAAATACAAAACAGAAACAAAGTCTTTGAGTTTTGTGCGGGCTATCGAACTCAAAAAAAAAAGGGTTGTGTATTCAATCGATTATGCATGTGACAAGATTCTTATAAAAGAAGATTTAATAAAAGTTTAACTTGATGTTATATGATCTTTTGAACGAAGGGTCTGTAAAAAAAACAAAAATGGAAGGCATTTCTTCTTTTATAATAGATCGAAATGATATCAACCTTTTTACTTCCTATCTTTGTATTTGTTATATTACTGAAATCAACATTCGAACTAAATGATGTTCGTTTTGAGCACTTAATGTCATTGACATGCAATACACCAGTTATTACATTACATGTATTTTCGGGGACTGAAAATCCAACATGGTCAATTAACATAAATCAGCTACAAACATTGAAGAATATAGCAAATCAAAATAGTATTATTCCTAGTTCAATAACATCTCGAATAATGGGTTATCAAGGGTTTAGTATAATGTGCTCATTAATCGACAGAGTATTTATTAATGGACGAGCCGATATTGAATTGTATCTATTGTCAACCGGTAGACATCATTTATCATCATCAATTATTGAACATGTTCAAGCACATGTGGGAGAGATAATACCTCAAGGCGAAATAGACTCTGCATTTGAACCCAATGTTGACTGTAATAAAGTACCAATAAGAGGTACTGACGGTGTACCCGTGTATGATCCAAAAACAGATGATGGTGGATGTTTCGTGCAGAAACAAACACTTAATAATTGTTATGCCTATGGTAAACAGGTGAAATATTACTTAATGATCTTCAATCCTACTTTTTTTATTAACTTTAAGGTACAGATATTGTTACAAACACCTTTCCTCAACCAGGTAAACTGAATGACACATCATTTTAAAAGGGAAAGATAGGATAAAGAGGTTCGTCTGTTGCAGGACGTGGTAGTGGAAAAAAATGGTTAGCAAATACGTGTAAAGAAATGGGTGCTGCATCTGTACGTGATAATTTAATATTTAATGGTACTAAATTACCAAACAACCAACCCAAAGAAGGACATTATGTCGCATTACTCATATGGCCTGATACAAATTTTCATTGGATAAGAAAAGTATCAAAGATAGTTCAGAATTGTTAAAAAAAAATATGAGATTTTTCTCATTTTGTTTAGGATGCAAATGGATATTGGTCACATAAACCTGGAGGTGAAAATAATTTTTCTCTCTTTAGAGATACGCAGATATGTATATGTTTTGTTTTCTCGTTTTTTTTTACAGGCACTCCAGTTACTAATGTGGATAACACCGGTACTAAAATAACGGATCCATCAAAATCTGATTTTGCACCATGGACACAATTTTGCGCTTATTATATTGCAAAACCATCCAACCTCACTATTAATTAACACAAAAAACATTTGTATTTTTAAGATTTTTCTATCATTCACTTTTTTCGTTTATGTTATAAAATAGTGGAAAATAAACGTAATATCTGCTAAAATTTCACACTAAATATAAGATTAATGGAGATTATTGATTTCTGAAACTGTTATTCAATCAAAACGGGATATAGTTTTCAGAGTTGTAATTTCACCTTTAGAGGCCTATGTTGTATAACGAAAATTGTTTTATTAGAGAATAGAAAAAAATCTTGACCCAAATATTAAAGAAAAAGATACGCCAGGAACCGTTCATAAATAAATGCAATCTTGATAGGGGGCAAAAATACGTCGTACTTAATCTTCAAAGAACACAATTGCATAAATAATGCTTTGAAATTACAGACGATTATCATCAACAAAATCGCATTATTTTCGAACGTTATTCATTGGTACACTTTTTTTTGTTGTTCTTATCGCGATCGAAATTTAAAAGGGACCTTTTGTTTAGTACACAAGATCTGTTTCTGGTCACATGCACTTCAAAACTTTCACCTGCTAGTTGTAAATATCATCAACGTGATTCATATATTAGAGCTTTAGTATATAACACATCTTCTTTATCTAACATACGACAAGATGCGCACTATGTCCCACATACAGATTTCTGCATGTGATATTAAAAGGAAGATAAAGGGCTGTACGCTAAAGTTCTAATATAAACAAAGATTTTTTAAGCAGTTCGTTGCAACAAGCAACCAGGAATCGTTATGCACGCAACATTTTCAAGCCACTATTTTTTCCAATATGTCAAAAGGAGTTCTTTAGATTTTCTTGTACCATAACATGCCACACACACGAGCTACTCTCATTTTGTCTTCTTTGTCCTATTCAGGACTAGTGAGGTTTTTTTTCATGATCTGGATCGATTTTTAAATCTTTTTCATGAACTTTTTTAGAGCATAGAAATTAATTGTCAAAGTGCTACAGATACTTTTAGAAACTAATTCTAAAAAAGCTAGTCTTCAACTTTCCTCATAATATATTTCGGCTAATGTTCCGAGGTCAGTGTCTATGGGCAGTACTTAAAACAAATTCTGCTCAATGACAACCGCCCATAACGGTTCCTGGTAGTAAAGATAACTAATGAATGTGTCATTATTTACCAGGATTTATCGGCTGCATTTATCATTCATATGGAAACAGTTCATGCTTTACAAAATCGTTATAATGAAACAAAAATCTTGAGTGATACTAAACAAAAATTTCTTCTTGACTCATCTGTACAAGCTCGACAGAAAGTTTGCCAATGGTTTGAAAAAAAAATTGCCGATTTGAATGATGCACAATACAAAATATTGAATGATATCGAATCTGAGAGAGATCAAATCCAGGTATGATATTTCAAAGTTCGTCTCTTATTTAATACGTTCTGTAATATCGAGATTTTCGTTGATGTTTAATATCACTGAATGCTTAAAACTAATTTTCTTCATTAGGTACATTTATACGATCTAAATGAAAAAGTTGAAGCAATTGGCGATCAAATAGAAACCTTAATAGAAACTGGTACCATAATCAACGATTTAACAGCAAAGTTAGATGACTTGAATAAAAAATTGGACAATATCGATTTTCCAGCTGAACATTCTCTACTCGCCAGATATAAAGTTTCTTTAACTAATGATGTTCACAATAATGTTTCAACAGAAGTAATCTGCAAGGACAGTCAGACTGATCTGACAATGAAAGATATGACTCAGAATGGTATTCAAACAGAAAATAGTCTACTAACAAATAGTGAGGAGGATGAGAATGGTTCGATGGATGCTAATCCATCCTCTTTTCGAATAAATGATACAGTTCCCATGTATCAGAACGTTGGTCGAATTGCTAGTAATGGAGAAGGTTTACTTTATTGTTCACCCATTCTAAATCTTCTTTGTTATCGTCAATTAAATCAAACTTTCGAAACACATTGTGACTGGACTCATTCTCCTATTGAAGACATGATTTGGTGGTCAAATTTAAATAGTTACCTGTGTGCAACATTAAATGGCGTATACACAGTAAAATATGATGATGGTGACTTTCGCGTTAGATTGATAATTCCTGGCAAGTGGAAATATGTTAGAGTAGCGTGTAATCACGAATTCATATGGACATGGATTTATTCAAAACTGAATGCATTCTATGGTTTGTGTCAATATTCAAAGGAATTAGAACTTGTACGCACAATCGATTTTAAGAGACCTTCTATTGGAAATTTTATTGATGGAAGCCTGAGTTTTTGTGTACAAGACAATGTATTCGCGTCCGTATGTCATTATAGAGTAAATAAACGAAATGTTTTTCGTGTGACACTGTGTAATACAAGTTTAACAAAAGAAATTTTTACCGCTGTCCTAGGACAGTGTGGTAATACACTAGAAATTCGAAGTGATATCAACGGTTATTTTTTTATTGCAACTGGAACAAAAAAATTATGGATTATTAAACAGAATGGTGAGAAGTGGTTTCTTGAATTGGCGAACAATTTGCATGCTCTGACTGTTCTTGATGATCGAGATATTCTTATTGCAACTGATACAAATAATCTTCAACGTATAACACGCGAAACCAATGGTTAACATATCACTGAGCATTCATGATTAGTTAGCATACAGTTTCTGTTGATTGATGAATCGTTATCTAATAAAAAAAACGAAAACTCATCCTCGTATTAAATGATAGTGACCATTCTTCATTAATTAAGTTTCCATAAAAATCAATCAAAATTAAAGTAGGAGCTACAAATTTTACTTTGTTTTGCATTTAGTGAAGTAATTTAGTGCTTAACTCATCACTGGAAAGATGTACGTTTTATTATATACTTTACAAATTGAAAACTGTTAGATTTCACTAAATCAAATCAAATATTAAATGTTACTCAAAAATTAGAAAATTTTCTCTATAAATGAACAAAGGGGATGCGTGACTACCCTAGTCGAGACTCCCGGAAAAACTCCCATGGGACTCCTGTCACGGGATCCTTCAGGAGTCAGGTGGGACTTTCAAGGGATTTCTCAGGACTCCTGTGGAACTTTCGAGTCCTACGGGACTCCAACAGCAGTCCTCAAAGTCCGACGGGAGTCCTCAGGAGTCCTGAGAAATCCCTTGAAAGTCCCATCTGACTCCCGCAGGACCTCGTAATAGGAGTCCCGTGGGAGTTTTGCTGGGAGTCTCGACTAGGGTAGTTCCTAATTGAATTGTGCGTACCTTCGAGGATAGCTAGTCCCCTAAAAAAGTTGAAAATAAGATTAAATCTACTTCAGAATATTCGTACAGAATTTATCTTCGCTAATCATCAGTAAAAACGCTCAAAAATAGAAACAGCTACTAAAGAACGTTAGCGGTGAAGCTAAATCCACAACTTTTATGTGATTGCGTTTGATATGACGAGCAATTTGACATCTATTTTCAAAGATACGCTGTTTTCATTGAATTTATGATCAATTTTCACCACAGTCAAGCGTTGGAATCATCATAGTTAATGAACAATTAAGGTAAAAATAAATAAATAAATATACACAAAAAAACAAGGACGAACTACTATTAAATTTTTATTGGTCCATTCTTGATCCTTTTGTTTGAATTACATTTTTGTATGTTCTTTATAAACTTGTCTGCTTTCAATTTGCTACTTCAGACTGTTTTTTTACTTTATTCTACGCTTTCAGTACTTCCACACAGATTCGCTCACTTTATATATGACTAAAAGTCGCCAAGACCTAACTATGTGCATCGTGTAGCACTACCTTGAGTATGTAAAATCTTCCATGTGTCCTCTATAAAAATCGTATGAAACACGGCCTTTGTAGAGTGTATAATTATCTCGTATTTGTTCAAAATTAATTTTATGATTTTCGATAGTTCAAATTTTAGAAAAGATTTATTATAGATTTATTTCTCTATTTATTCTGAGAGTAATAAAACCTAATTAAAATGATAATTAATTCAAATTCTAATAAAATATAGTTTTGTTTATGATCAAATGAAAACAGCTTCCAAACTTGATATAGGAAGTAGGATCCTAGCGTCTGGGATGTTTTCTAAACTACCTGTCACGGCTATGCAAGAAATTTCTGACTTATCTTGATCATCAAAGCATTTCTTTCGTTTTTTTATTAGGACATTTTATTGTTTATGCAGATTGTTGCGTTAGACTTACTATATTTCGCCGTTAAACTACGTCATTGACAAATAGATCCACCAATAATAGAATGATGAATAGAAAGAACAAGATAATGGTGGATATAACTACATTTGACTGAAGCCACAATTTTATCAAAACTTCTTCTCATCTTTGCTTTTAGCAGTTATTTGGTTGTTATTTGAGATTTTGATTCCATTCTATGGAAATAAAGCCATCATTTTTTGCGTTGTTTGCCATGTAATTAATTAATCAAGGTGAGTTTTTGACAAAAGTGAGATGTGTGTAATTATTTCTAACAGTCATTTCTATTTCTATGTTTGTTTTAGATCTTAGTTCTGTCAAAAGATGACAACATCAGAATTTGTCTTTATTCCTCCACCTGAAGCACCTGTCTTTTATCCAACTTACAATGAATTTCAAGATCCATTAGAATATATAGAGAAAATCCGACCAATCGCTTCTAGAACAGGAATATGTAAAATTGTGCCACCTAAGGTAAACGAGCATGGGCATTGGAAATTGTAATTGCGCCTGTCTTCACATTAAACTTAGAGCAGAGAATAAAAAAGATTAGATTTCGTCAAATTTAGAAGTAGATACTTTGTTCTCTTTAATAAAAGAAAATTTAACGTATTGTCGGCGTTTCTAGACGTGAAAATGCATATCCTGTTAGTGTAGAAGAATTGTTTATTTTTTTTTCTATTTTTCAGGATTGGCAGCCTCCATTCTGTGTTCAAATTGAAAATTTTAAATTTACACCCCGTATTCAACGTATCAATGAATTAGAAGCTGGCACTCGCGTAAAATTAACATTTTATGAAAGACTGACGCGTTTATTCGATTCACAAGGAATCAAACTGAAAATACCAACTGTTGAAAAACAAACATTAGACCTGGCCAAACTACATAAAGTAAGAACTATACAGATCTTGACCATGACAGTGACCCCAGCTATTCTGAACATCTATTGATTTTCTGCTGTAAAAAATAAACTCCTATTCATATCAATGTCTTACATGCAAATTTGAGCAATAAAGTAATATTAGAATTGACATTTTATTCAGAGAAAACTGTTACTACTCTAATTAAAACAAAATTTCTTTTCGGTATTTTTATCTTAGAAAATCTTCTGTCTTCTTTGCTTTGTTAATAGAACAGTTGTGCCTTCGTGTGTGAAACAAATTTCATTTAACGTTGTAGATCATTTTGATATGATGTTGTTTTTCTTTGTTTAGATTGTTAAAGATGAAGGTGGTTATGATATTTGTTGCTCACAAAAAAAATGGTCACTGATCTCACGTAAAATGTCGTTTCGTGATGCACAAACAAGTCGTACATTAAAACAACATTATGAAAAATTATTGTTATCCTATGATGTTTATGAAGCTGGCATTTATCAAGCATCAAAAGAAACATCCTCACAAGATACACTCACAGATGTAAGAGCGTCTTTATATTTAAAGTATTACCATTATAACTGTATCTGTCTTTAACAGACATTACCAAAACAATCTGCACTTCTTCATTCGAATACAGCATTTCGAAGAAGAAATGATGAATCAGACGTGAGTCGAAGTACACACCTACTCAATAATAGCTTCAACAGCTTACTAATGCTTGTGTATTCTAATATGTGCCTGTATGCGTGTATTTGTGTGTGGACTAGAAATTTATCTGCATTTTTAGAGAAATATGCTTAGCAGCAGCTGATCAACTTTTTCTGCTGTAAAAATTCGCTGTTTTTTTGTCTAATCAATTTCTACTTATAATATGGGGATCGTTTAATCTAATTATTTACTTAATACTTATGACTATTTGCTTATCTTTCTTATCTATTAAGATGCCTTTATTTGCTTTTTCTAGTTTCAAGTTGATTACATGGCTAGCCCAGAACTGAAAAAATTACAATTTCATGGTGCCGGTCCCAAAACAGCCGTACCATCGTCTACTGCTACACAAAATGAGAAGAGTATAGGTTCTCTTTCAAATACTTGAATCCGTTTTTCATTCTATTAATCTTTAGGTGAACCAGTTGATTCCTTATCGTCCTCGTCTTCAACGGCAGTACGCAACACAAACAAACGAAAAGAAACACCAACAATTGTAGAAGATCCAGTATGACTTCTTTTTGTAAACACATGCCTCTATTATAGTTTTCTTTTTGTTGTTTAGTTTGATAATTTTCTATGTAAATCTTGTAATCGTGGCGATGATGATGCCTATTTGTTAATTTGTGATCGATGCGACAATTGTTATCATACATACTGTCTTATTCCACCATTAATAGAAATACCAAGAGGACAATGGAGATGTCCAAAATGTGTCGCGCAAGTATGTATAAAAGAAATAATGCGGGAGAAAGGACTTTCTTCATATATCAATTTACTTGAAATAAACTTCTCTTTTTCTTCGAACAGCAGTAGCTAGCTAGCTCATCGTTCTTATAATCTCGATGTACTTTATATAAAGCAATATTTTCTTCTTTATCCTTAGTTATATCAAACAGCGTGCCCATTAGACGCCTATGGTTTTGAACAATCTCGCAAACAATTCACTCTACAAGAATTTGGAGAAATGGCAGATAATTTCAAACAAACATATTTTCAAAAAGAACTCCATGTGAGCTATAAAACTTTTTATTAAATTCTAATTCTTCTCTTTTTCTCTCATGTAAAGAATATCACATGTGAAGAAGTTGAAAAAGAATTTTGGCGAGTATTAGCATCGCCAACAGCTTCAGTTAAAGTCGAATATGGAGCAGATCTACCAACGGGAGAATTGGGTAGCGGTTTTCCTACCGTAAAATCAAAAGATTTATCCGATCAAGATAAAGTAAGTGAATACTCGAGTCTCTACCACTTGATTTCATCATTCGTATCCAAATGCAGCAGTTTAATTCTTTTGTTTTTTCTATTTTTAGAAATATTTAAATTCACCATGGAATTTGAATAATTTCGCTTATCATTATAAATCTGTATTGAGATATTTGAATGCTGATATTTCAGGAATGAAGGTAAGTCTCTAAACAAATATCTCTTGAATTATTATTTTTATTCTTGTTAATCGCGTTTTAGATACCATGGGCATATGTTGGAATGTTATTTTCGTGTTTTTGTTGGCATGTTGAAGATCATTGGAGTTATTCTATCAATTATTTGCATTGGTATGCTGATATTTTGCATTATGTCTGTTATTTATTATTGAGATCGTTCTATTTTCACTATCATTATTTGTTGTACCATTCAATAACTGTACATGAAATCTTTCCTTATTAAAGGGGTGAACCAAAAACGTGGTATGGTGTTCCGGGTACAAGTGCCGAGAAATTGGAGACTTGTTTTAAATCTTATGCACCAGAATTATTTGCAAAGACACCCGATTTATTACACCATCTTGTCACAATAATGAGTCCATCAATTCTGATGAAAGATGGTGTTCCTGTAATTATATATCTACTATTATTCTAATTCTTAGTAACTGACGATTTTATTTTAAGGTTGTCCGTTTAAATCAGTATGCGGGTGAATTTGTGGTCACATTTCCTCGAGCTTATCATACAGGATTCAACCAAGGTTACAATTTTGCTGAAGCTGTTAATTTTTGTCCAGCTGATTGGGTAAATTTTTTGTTCACGAATATAGAAATTGTGAAATATTTATAGTAAATTGTTTTATTGTAGCTATTGATGGGTCGTTGTGCAATTGATCATTATAAAGAAGTAAAACGTTACAGTGTATTTTCCCATGATGAACTCGTTTGTAAACTAGCGTCCGAATGTCAATATTTGGATCCAGCAATTGGTGAAGCAACAAAGTTTGAATTAGAATCTATAGTCAAACATGAAAAAAATGGTAGAAAATTAGCGTATGATCATGTAAGAGTACCGTAGTATTCATCTCCTTCAGCAGACTATATCTTGCTTTTCTGTTTACAGGGAGCTGCAAATGGTGATCGCGTCTGTTTTGAATTGATGCCCGATGATGAAAGACAATGTGATTATTGTAAAACAACCTGTTTTCTATCAGCTGTATCCTGTTCATGTAAACCGAGTAAGTTAAAATAAGTGAAGAGTTTTTTAATCAAATGACGATTCTTTTTGTCCATTTAGATGTCTTAGTGTGTATAAATCATATTGATCAGTTATGCACATGTATACCACCTTCTTATTGTTTATGGTGAGCTTTGATGTTTTTTTTCAGATTATTTAATGGCAAAACACATTTAATTGCTCTATTTTAGGTTTCGTTATACGTGTGAGGAGATGTCTGATATGCTGGAAGCACTTCGTGAACGACTTGATCTATGTCAAAAATGGAAATCATTAGTAAATCGATTAATATCAAATGATCATAGTGTTTTAGTGGATTTTAATGAATTAGAACGTCATACGGCATCAGGTGCTTTATGTTTACGCGATGATATTCGTCTAAAAATGGAACAGAAACTATCACAAGCTCTTGAATGTCGACAAATAGCAAAACAATTATTGAAACGATTGACATATAAGAATGATAATAATGACATAAAGGATGAAGACAATTTAACTAGTGGGAATAAACAAAAAGTGACATTAGGTGAACTCCACCAATTAAGTACAAAAATTAAACAAATCGGAATTACTTTCACAGAAATGGTCAACGTACAAGTAAGTAAAGGGTATACTTGCGAATAACTGAACAACCGTTAACACAAATTTTTGTTGCTTCTTAACCATAGTGCAGATGAAATACTGTTTTTTTCTCATTTACGTCTATACAAAAGCTACCATTCATTTTTTTTTATCTATTATTAGACCATATTATCTGATTGCATCCGTTACCAAGACGATGTTCAAAAACTCTTGCTGTCTGATCAATTACAAATACCCTCAGTTTACACTCCATATATTGATCGTTCTGATCAATTTTATATTCAATTACCAATTGTTGATAAACTTCATTCCTACTATCAAGCTAGTCTATGGAAAGAACTTGTTCAACGAACAATCGCTCAAACTCCAACAATAACTAAATTGAAGAATTTACTAGCTTCTGGACAACAATTTTGTCATTTACATCCACAAATACATCAGACATGTCAAGATCTACAAGAACAATTAAATTTACAAGAATTATGGGAAGAGAAATCCCGATTATTAATGAAACAAGAGTATGTACTTTTAGTTAAGGATATAAGGAGAGATATTTAACGTAAAAATATAGGAATAAGATAATAAATTTGAATATCTTATTTGATAATTTTTATCAGCTCTCTTCGCTTTTCTATTCTAGTCCATCTCCAACACTCGAAATATTAGAAAAATTTGTCGAAAATGCTTTAAAGTCTTCAGTTAATTTACCATCAATTAATAAATTAAAAACAACTATTGAAGATTGTAAACAATGGAATCAAACATTTGAACAACTGCAAGTAAGAGAGTTTGATCATAAGTCAAGCTCGGAATGAAAATTATACTCATAGAAAATTCTTTATTGTTTAACAGATGTTTCATATAGATATCAGTTTTCATGTTCTGTTTGCTTTGCGTATTCTACAGCAAATAAAAAAGATCTACTTCAAAAACTATACTATAGATTTAATTATCATTTGATCATTCAACTTATATATTTATTTTTTCACCTGAGCTATAAGTAACTGTTCACTATCTGTTCATGTTTTTTGTTTATTATTTTTTAGTCTAGTGAACATTATCCATTTTTATATCGTTTGGAGCAAATGTATTCTGAAGCAAAATTATTAAATGTTGATTTATTCCCATTGAAACAAATTGATCAAACAATCGCTCATGCAACTATTTGGCTTGATAAAACTCTGCAAACATTTAAAAAACATAATTCTCAATTAACATTACTAGAAGTGATTAATAACAATTTTTTGAATAATCTTCTAGGATTTAACGATTGCCTTTCTGTATAGATAATTACACCACGAGTATCATTTAATGATAAAAAGTTGAAACGTCGACGAAAAACTGGTGGTGGAGGAAGTAGTGGATCATCAGATAATGCACCTAGTGAACTAATGGGTACATTAGATGAAAGATTATTGGATGCAATGGAAGATGAAAAGGATCCAGCAACAATTGTACGTACTGTGAAATTGATCAACAACATAATTATTGAACTAGTATTATATGTTCCTAAATTATACCTATTTCTACATGATTAGTGACTTACAGTTGCTTATGCAACTGAAATAAAACAAAATAAAAATAGACATTCTCAAATGTTTGCAAGTACCGTGCATTATTTTTAGCGTATAGTCAGCCAGTTGTACAATTAGTCATGCATCTGTTATGTTCTTACTCTTCTGATTTTCGTTCTTTTTATTTTTATTTCAGTATCAAATTTATCGAGATTCAACTCGAAAAGAGATTGAAGCTATTTGTGATCTACGTGAAAATAATCAATCAAAACAATCTGATGCATGTTCAACTTATTGTTTATGCGAAAAACAATATCAAGAAAATATGACTAAATGTGATTTATGCAAAGAATATTATCATCGTATGTATTCTGAACTGTTATCATACTGAAAGTAGACGTTAACCCTCACTTTAATTAAATTCGTTTGAATTTTATAGATTGAGTTCCAACTAATCTATAGTTTCTAAGAAGAAAAATATTTGTCACATTTCCTTCGCTGAGTGCCCTTGTTAGTATAATATTTGTGTTTTTTTTAAAATTTTAGGTCAATGTTTATCTCGTTCATCAGACACATCATCAACAACCTTAATTTTAAATAATAATAATTCTCGTTCATTATCACCTGAACCATCAACTTCTTCCTTAATCTGGTGGTGTGATTCATGTATTCGTTCGTGTCGCCCTCGTTTAGAAGACGTTGTGAAATTATTAGCAAATTTACAAAAATTAACTGTTCGATTACCAGAAGGAGAGATTCTTCAGTGTTTAACTGAAAGAGCAATGACATGGCAAGACAAAGCGAAGTAGGTTTTATTAACATCAGTTACTATCACTGATATCTTACTCGCTTTTATTTTTAGACAATTCCTCAATACTCCAATTATTACTGACATGGCGATTAAACAAGAACCAACTCTTCATTATAAGACATCAATTTTTGTACGTATTTCGTTGATATCATATCGCTTATTGAAAACGTTTGTATGATTTACAGATGGATACGCATAGCTCAATGATATTTTGATCTACTGTTTAAAAATATGAGAAAATATATAATATCTTTCACATACTCAGTATTTGTCTTCTTTTAGTCATAGAACAACGTAGAGATAATAAAAGAAAGGAACAAATATTTTTCCTAGTCGATATTATTTAAAAAATACAGTCTCATATGTCATAAATGTCTTTTCTTAGTGATTTGTTCTTCACTAATTTCATATTTAGGATGAAAATGATTCTGATAATTTAAACAGTCTAAAATCGAAATCTTGTAAAATATCCGGCAATAATGATCATTCATTTCCAAAATATTATGTTGAACAAGTGGAACAATTGTTGATGGAAGGTGCTTTGCTTGAAATTAGTGTTGATGAAATTAAATCATTAACAAAATTATTGCATAAACATAGAACGTTATCAATGTCAAGTGATGTATGTAACTTCTTTATTTAAGTATCTATCAACAAAGGTCTGTATTAAACATTGTCTATTATTATTTTATTTTATTTGTTTAGAGACCTAAGATGGCACGTGTTAGTTCAACATCCACAACTCAAGATGATGGTCGAAAATCATTTGAAAAAGTAAAACCTTCTAAATCGGCAACAACAGCAACAACAACAACGTCGGCGCGAAAAAGAAAGTCGCAAGAACATACAGCAGCAGCTGCTACATCATCCAAAGCTCGTAAGTACAAGATTACACTTAGTCTTCTTTTTGTCTATTTTAAAAGTTATCCTTTTCCAAATAGTTGTTTTGTAGAAAACAGAAAATTTCATTCAGTGAGTTTCTGCTATTTCCTCAATTAACAGGTCAAGACAATTAATTAAGTTGAGTTCATAGAATCTAAAAAATTTATTGGCGAATGTATATTATATTTACTAAATCTATTTTTGTTGTAAGTACAGTTATAAACAATAATACATTAGTTGAATAGCTGTTAACGCCATTTTATTGATTTCTTTTCTAAAAATTAGTAAACTAGTTCTTAATTCATCCAGATGGATCTCATTAATCTAAGTCAGTGAGAGAAAATGCTATATCATTTAAGTTTCGAATATTTTTATCTGTAGCTGTTCGTCGTTCATCAACTAAACGTTCTCGTAAATCTACTCCAAAACAGCAACAACAACTTCGTTCGAACAGTACAACCATAAACGCAGCTCCAAATGATACATTAAAAATTCTCGATCAGTCAAACATCACAACATTTCCATTGTCATCCACTCCAAGTTCCAACACAAACACATCCGCCGAATTTTCGTCACTTTTGACATCAGTACCTCAAGAGAATGCGGATGAAACTCAACTTTTATCTGAAAGTGATCATGATGAACAAGAAGAAAATTTAGTATTACAAAACCACGATCATGAATATGAAGGTACAAGATACACCCGTGTTATCGTCAGCTTCATATTGTAGCATACATATAAAGAGTTAAACTTTTCAAGAGATGTGTTTAAATTCTTTAAATCTGTTCAGCATAGCAAAATATTGCGGATTTCTATTTTTTCGTCTCGTGCGTCTCTACTTCTCGGCGATGAAGCAATACTTAACGATAAAATTTATATCAGTGATGAATACTAGCGAGTTCTATTATGAAAAAAATTTGAGTTTGATTAGTCAAGCGGAACAAAGTTATAGTCAAAGTGCAGATCGTTATGGAATTTCAAAAAAGTAAATTACTCCGTCTGAGATTAGTTCTGACATTATGACTTAGTTACCAAATAAAGCTCACAGTCTGGACTATTAGAATCACTACAGACCGTTTCTTTTTCCGCAGTTTTTTGCTGCTCTACAATATGAAGCTGACGCTGCTGCTTTGCAGTTGGTTTGGCGAATATTTTTTCTGTCACAAAACTACTCACTGGGCCCTGATATGCATACAGATAGATAGCTTGAAGTGTGAAATAAGCGGCAGAATTCGTTTTAGAAAATCGAAAAAGTTTTTGGCATCCAGACGTGAAAAAAAATGAGCCGTATGATAGAGAATTTGATTTTCTATGATTCTGATAGTGCAGTTTTCAAAATTTTTCAATAAAATATCTGAATTAGTAAATTAAATTTATTATTTACAAATACTACTTTGCCGACTTTTTATTAGATATCGGTCAGTAGGAGAAAAAATCTAGCAGTTATAGACACTGGTCTCAAACCAACGGTTTATGTATATAGCCTATGAAAGTTCCTACGTATTATCATTTACAATCATTTGCGTTTAGGCGACGGAATAACAACTGCAGCTTCAACGAACGATGATAAATGTGCATTAGACAGTCAATGCTTCAAACCCTCAGGTTCAAGTATAAAATGGGTTATGTGTGATCAATGTGACAGATGGTTTCATTTAGTTTGTGTCGGACTAACGACGATTAAACGAAATGACGAATTTAAATGTAAATTTTGTAAACAACACTAGAAATTCTTTGTCGTCTCTTTGTTTTTCATTAAATTATGTTTTTTTTGTCTCGCTGTGTAATTATAAAGTTTTTCTATTTGTCTCTTTTATGCTGTAAAATATGCTTGAACTTTAGTCCTCATGTGTTTTGTTGTTTTTTTCTCTCTCAATCTCTTCACTCTTTAGTCAAAAGAATTTACAATTTTTGCAGCAATTTTAATGACTTTGTTCGAAATATCAAACAAAGTTTTGCTTTAGATTAGAAAATTCCTATGAGATACTGCTCATATCGTTGAAATAAAGAGTGTAAGCCTATTTCCGCAATCGTAAAATACAAAAATTATTTTCTCCATCTTTGAGCGATCGAATGTGACTGATTACTGGGACACAAAATTGGTCTCTCATCAATTTGTCAGATAAATCAGAAATACACATAGGCGTAGGAACGAAGAGTATCCACATATACCTACATATTCTTTACTTGTCTGACTTTAAAAAGGTTAAATCAACAAAATAGTCATTTGTGTTGTGTTTCTCATACTTATTATCAATTTTGTTTGTCTCTTTCAGTCTTGTAATTTTTTTTGGTCTGTTCATCTTTTTGTTTTGTGAATGTGTGTGCCTGTGAATGGAATTTAACTGTTTGTCTCCTTTTTGTTACATGGCTTATCTCTTCCTTTTAAAAACAAAAGAATTTGTGCCTGCTCTTGTTTTTTTAAAAATATCACAATAGGATGGACATATCTATACTCCACCTGCTCCCAACACAATAACTTTTACACATCTCACGACAGAGACAGGATGGTCCAGGTCAAATGTCCAGACCTGACCTAGAAAAAGCGGACTTGGACCTGTAAGACGTAAACCTGGAAAAGGGGACCTGGACTTTGACCTGAACCTCTACCTGTGACCTGTCGACATAAGCAAGATATCAGCCATTGACTATGTCTAGCAGTGTGAAACTGAATTATTTCATACACATTTTCTCTCCTGTTGGAAATTCTGAGAACAATATGAAAAATCGTAATAACCTTATTGCCTAAAGACATTTTTGTTCAAAATATCTATCACGTGCTTCTCATATATTCTAAGAAATGTTCTTAAACTCTAGTACAGGATATTGTAAATTCGCACTATCAGAATTTTTTCATACAACGGACCCAGCGTCCAGATCACAAGTTCAAGTCATAGGTCCAGATTCAGGTCAGGTCCAAGTCTAGGTCTATTTTTTTCAAGTGCAGGTCCACAGGTCCAGATTCAACTTTGTAGGTCAGGACCAGACCCGAGGCAAAATTGTTCATTAGATCGAATAACAATAAGCCACCTTACAGTTAAACTTCCTAGTTTCTCCTACAAGTTTTGACCTTGACCCACACAGGTCACAGGTCAAGGTCTAGGTATCCTGTCTCTGTCTCACGAAATACACTTTAAGTATGATAATAAAAAACCATGATGAGTCCAGCGTTGGGTACAGAGAACAATGGAACCATCATTCTATAACAATATATCACAGCTCATGTTGTAGTCCGTTGAATTGTGCAACTTAGTGTATATAAATTATCGCTGGGTGACCACCTGTACTACAAACATTTTACGATCTTTTATGAAGTAGGTGCCAGAATTCAAATTCAGTTTAGTATTGAAAAGCAGACAGCAAAGTACTTGCGATTATTTTTCATTCATTTACCCAAAATTGTATTACGCTGTTTTTCTATTAAAGTCTTCGACGTGCTTTCACGACTTGAGGAGCCAAGATGGAGTACTAAAACAGATCTTTTCGTTAAATACAATCATTGTATTAGCAAAATCAACGGTGTCACTAGTTGCGGAAACAAAATACCGTCAATAATTGATCGAGACTCAAATGCGCTGTTAACAACCATCGAAGGAGAATATATAACACTGCCCAAATTTCACGTATTATGCCGCCGCAATTATCAATTAGTATGTAAGACAATGAAATGGGGTATTAGTCACAGCAGAATTTACAGAAGTAAAAGCACATAACGTGGACAGAAATACAGTTTAATGCTTGATGATTCAGTTTTGGAACGAGCAGAAGATGAATTCATAAAGTCGACTAAATATTGGAAATCTGCTGTTTTTTTATCAGATTGTTAGTCCTAAAGTAAAAGTTTTTAAACAAAGTTTAAAGAAAAGTTTGCCTAATATGTATTGAACAAAAAGTTCCGAGATAGATAACCGTCAACATTGCCCATACTCTAGAATCCAGTAAAAAACCCGCTGTTTTCGTTAATATTCCTGTTCTTTTGGTTAGCATGTGGTAGAGGCATGACATGACTATTTTATATAGCCATAGTAACTATGGAGTAACCATGCGTTTCACATCATCCCAGCTAAATCCTGCGCATCCGTTTCCGGGATAGTTATCTCTCATGTCTGGCATTTGAGCATTTCATCACTTTGTTCATATGATGGTCCAGGTTAGTATGACTTGTAGTACACAGTCACTAATGTGACATAAAAACTTCAGAAACGTAAAATTCTTTTCACAAAATCAATGGCTTTATATTATGCGACTCGGTAAAACAAAAAAGACAAATGTCTTTGGTGAAGGTGATTTTATTAGAACTTGTGGGAAACGGGAACTTTAAAATGTTGCGGGATTCCCGATAAATCTCTGTGTAGAACGTAAATCTAGTCTCATGGCGACTAGGGTAACAGGAGGAACGATAGGAGATTTCCACTGTGCTGATGCCACAAACTATTGGAAGTAGCAAACCACCCTTAAATATTTCGAAATAAAGTGAGACCTTGATTTTCAGCGGTTCGGGCGTTGTATCGGATTTCCGACGAGTCCTAAGGCTGGCACTCGGTGACTCCTGGTAGCCCATAACATCCGGAAATCGCCGTCACCGCGGATTTGGTGTTAAAGTGTTAACACTTTAACATATACGAACTCGCGGTGAGTGAGAGTGAGGGTGAAGAAGTGAGAGTGAAGTGGATGAAGAAGTGCTCCACCCTCATCCTCACTTCCTCACCCTCAATTATGCACGTTTACACTTTAACACTTTAACATATAAGAATCCGCGGCGACGGCGATTTCCGGATGATGTCTGGTAGCCTTAAGGACGGATGGACTATGGATAATCGACCATGCTGAGTCTCGTGGCAATATTCCTTTTTTAAAAATCTACTGAAAAGCCAGTTTTACGAAAATAAGGGTTTTCAGGTTGTTTTAACCTAATATTAAAAAATGCACTATTCACTCAAAAAACATCAGAACAAGCTCAGAATATGATTAATGTTGTCCGCTAAACGTGATTATAACATCGAAAAAATCC